AGCGCGCGCGTCTCAAACATAGGGCGGCTGCTGCAGGCCTGCGCTCAGCAACAAATGCACGTTTTTCGATCGGTTGGAGTTGACCAATAGTGAAACTGGGGATATGGGCCGATGTGTGGGAGCCTAGGCAAGGATTCTGCGTTGTGAAAACATCGAAAATGCGCGTGAGGTTTTTCATGGGGCCTAACTCCCCCAGTCGACTTTAACACGCTCGCTGGGACGAATGACGTGTCGCATCGCGATCGGACAGGTGGCGTTCGAAAGAGTAACCTTTAGGGAACATATGATGTAAATATGACTCACCTGCGCCGCGCGCTGGTGCAGCGGCGGCCGCCCTCACGCCACCACCTGACTTGGCGCCCGCCCGTGGCCAAATCTTTAACGCCGAGGCGCGGTGGGTTCCCGACATCGGAGAGGGTTCGGACAAAGACCATCGTGCTCGGCATCGAAAATACTTTCAGAAAAACCACCGATCAGCGGGATTCGAGCTGTGCACCTAGAATTTGGCCCAGGCTACTGACGGCATCAATGCACTCTCTCATGTTTAACAACAAATTTGGTGTCTTTAAAGAAGATTGGTCTGAGTGGTTCTTTGCATCAGCTCAAGAAAACTATGTGGTGATGCAAGATGCAATCCACTCTGTAAACAAGTTCAGAACTAGACTCACCCCACCTCATGTTCTTTTCATTGGAAATTAAGTTGCATCACAGACTCACATTAGAAGTGTGATTAAAAATATTGAGCAAGGTTTCCATGGGCTAACCAAACATGACCTAGATAAAGAGGACAAAATGAATTTTAATGCAAGTAAGAAAATATGCAGTGAACGCGTAACAGACCAACTTTCATTACATGTTGCTGGGAGTAAAGCTACTATTCTATATTTGACAAGTATGAGATATTTAATGGAAGGGTGCCTTGACACCAGTTTATCTCCCTCTGAAAAATTGTGTAAAGTTTGGTATTGTGTCCTGTTTTTGAGGTACTGGAAAAAGTGGTTGCTGGACCACTCAACTTACAAAGTTTCTGAACAATTTATCACCCCAAACTTGTATGTATGTGTAGAAGTCATCGCTCATGCACTCATTAAATTACTTGTAAAGTTCAGGGATTCACCAATCTACCTCTTCATACATTTGTACTCAAGTCAGCCATGTGAAATGTTTTTCCGTCTTGCTAGATCTATGACAACAGAATCTACAGTGATCAATTTTTCAATTAAAGAATTTCTGGCAAGGGTTAAGCGCATTGACCTCCTGCACTTCTGTACTTGCAAGCTTGGTGAGAAGCTTGAATTTCCAAAAGAGAAGAGGAAAAAATTACTAGGCATTATGACACAAGAAAAATTAGAAGCAAGCTACTTACCGAGTGACCATGAAATTAAAGAGATTGTCATGGCGGCCAAGACAGACGTAATATCCAAACTACGTAAATGTGGTTTGAAAATAACTGAAAGTGCATCTGTTGTAAGGATTAAGTCGTACCCTTTGTCAACCACCGACTTTCAGGATGGCGGTGTTTGTGGAACCAGTGATGAATAGCCTGCAAATTACCAAGCTGACATTACAGAAGATGACATACCGCTTGACATTATGACTGCATTCCCCTCTCCTTCGTCTTATTCTTTGGAACCTCTTAGTGAGGCTGTTAATGATTTTTTGCCACCTCAAATTATTTTTGTTATGGTTCCTAATTCAACTGGTGGATTTTCCACAGTAAAAAAAACAACTCTCTGTTGGTTGTTGGTCAACAATGGCATCAAATTGAGTACTAAACGCCTTGAAAAGGTTAGGCAAATGGTTTCATTTTCTATTAGTAATAAGATGCTTCAATCAAGATTGTCATCTCAAGAACCTTTACAGAAAAAAGAAGTTAGTGCTGGAGAGTGGTGCATATTTAGAAAGCCTGTGAAACGTTCACTACTTTATTACACTGTCCAGATTTTAGTAGGACTTGCTTACCTGACTGCTGAACATGGGCTTTCCCGTGCTTACACTTTGCCGACAGCACCAGTTCACCCCCCTGCTGACTGCCAACCGAGAGGTGTTGGATGTCTTTGTGATAGATTTAGAGTGAAAGATGGGAAGCTACTGGAAGTTCCTCTTTCAGCCCAATCATATATCAAAATTACCCAGTATGTTGTGACCATTCCTCACCCAATTGTGAGCGATTCAGCATTGATTACACTCAGTATTTACAGAACCTAACAACCTGGTAATTAAACTAGGTAGATGTACACCAGACCACGTCTCGCGTAACAGGCTTCGCGATATCTCACGAAACACTGTTACGCTGTGACGCGCCTGGCATACATCAACCTAGGCCTGCGGCGCTGACACGCGTGTCGGGAAGCGTAAAAGGGTACACAAAGATACGGGCCTTTGGCCGGTCAGCTTCCCGTCACTTCGACGCAGCATGCAGGGTTGAACATTTTTTCGCTCATTTTCGTGAAAAACTCCCTGTGGCGCCTCA